CCTGGAGATCCTGCTTCAATTTGGCGATCTACAACATTGATATAGTAGCATCGCGGAACTCAAGTTTCATCTAAGAAATTTTGTGAAAGCCAGAGTGTACACTGGAGATACAATGACTTCTCAGACACAAAAACAATTTCAAGAGTGGTCACATCATTCCTTAACGTTCCCTTTACTTTCAAGCTAGAAGTCAAAGGCAGTGAAAAATAATACCTATAGATCTAGGAAAATAAACAGAAACGTTGACGATCACTTTTTTGAAAGTATACATCACAGCAAACAAAGTTGGAAGTTGACACGCAAACTGACCTCTGGCAGCTTATCGGAACTTGCTACTCTAGGGGCGTTGGCATTCGCCAGCTGTTCACGTAGTGCTACAATCTCATCAGCCATTCTCTTTCGCTCCTCAAGATACCGTCCTTCCGATATTGAGGCTCGTCGCTGTTCAAAAGCTTCGGTGACGTCACGCAGCTGAATTTATACATGATATGAACTTAAATGACATGGACCTAATTAAAGTTTTTTTTTGAATTGTTTTATACCTGTCTTTGAAGATCTTCAATTTGATTAGCCATCCTTGCCTTTTCTTTTGGCCATTCCGTGGCCTGAGAATCACTTAAACAAACGTTTAAAGAGCGAAGGCAACGAGTTGAATGGGAAGCCAGAAGCATGAAAAATGATAAACAAAAAAAGCGAGAAAGATGAAAATAAAAAGAAATACAGAAGGACTGACTTCTCTAATTTAGCTATAGTATCCATTGCCTTTTTCAGCATCCTTTCTTTGGTGTTTGCACGGTCCTCAGCTTGCTCTTTCGCTTTCTTCATGGATGTCAGCTCACTTAAAGCAAGGTTCAATTGGTCACTCAGTTGACCGCTCCTGAAATAATAGAATTTCTAGCAGGATCTCTCCGAAGCTGGCTATAAGATCACGATATATGCCTCGTTCGCCTTCATTCGCGCTTCCTCTTGAGCTCTCGTCATGTTCGAGATCGTGTTTTTGTATCGTTCCACATCTTTCTGGGCGATGGCCAAATCGGTATCCAAGACACGTATCTTATGTTCGCTGTTTTTCATATGCTCCTTGTAGCTGAAATCACTCCACATAACTCAACGTTCAAGAAAGACTATGAGAAAAAACAACGTTTTTTTTTGAATCTAGATGTCTGTTGAGCATATAGTACTCTAAAGGCAGGGTTCGAGCTCAGTCTCAAGAGTATCCCGTGAACCCGTGAACAGACGCAGACTCTACCACCCCAGTGGTCGAGCCACTTCCGCCTCTAAGACGCTAGATGCTTAAGACTTAAATCATCCTACATCCAGACAAACCGTGCCCGCCCACAACTTCGATATCTGTGCCATCGTGCTGATCTGTAATACTTACTCGACTGCGAGGTTATTCCCCTCCGCGACTCACATTCTATCTTATCTCGCTGTCTGCTTCTTGAACGGCTTTGCAGCGTAGAGCATGGAGTCCCGTATTCTCCGTGTTTTCAATTGCTTTCTCTCTACCTGCAGCCTACTTCGCACCCCCACTTCCATAATAAAGTGGAATGAACATATGAATTTGACCCTGACACCTTACCTTCGCGTGCTACCGCAAAAGCAGTGATTACTCAGGTTATAGAAAAAATGAAAAAGAAGAAATCGTCGTGACGGTCTCTTCCTACAATTGGAATCCTGGGTCTTTTTTCAGCCATCAAAGAATCGACATTAGCCCGGAAAGCCGTGTATTCGTCTCGTAGAGTGCGGATATCGTCGAGTAATCGATTATTTTCTTCTACAACCTGTAACATTTTTACTAATCGTCTTAAATAAATTTTCCGACATTTAGATCATACAGGAAGCTCTTTGCTTTGGGCACCTCAAACTTAAATGTCTTATTTGAACATTGATTAATGTTTTCCACAAATGGGCACAGACTTACAACGCCATTCTAAAAGCGCTTTTTCACTTTATACGAAGATGACGTAACTTTTGCATTGAAACAATTCTTGCTTACTTTTCGAAGCCTTGAGCTTTGGACGATTTTCATGTTCCAACTCAAATAAGTCAAGAAAGTAATGGAGTCACTCGCGCTATTCTCAACGCCTTGGTCCCGGATCCACCATAAATCACTGTGAACTAATGGTCCAACAAGCTCTTGCATCAGATGTTGACAAGGAATAACTGGAAGTTCAAATCAAATCTGTACTTTCCCACTTTTTATGGATACACCTTATGATGTATGAGTAAATAAATAAATAAATAAATAAATAAATAAATAAATAAATAACATGGGCACTTCTTGTCTAATTTGTTCGAACAAATGAACCACACACCATCAAACCTCGCCATTCCCTTTAAACGCTTTCCAGATCTAGGTGAAAATCGAAAAGCATAGCAATGTAGAGTGCCACGACAAACAACCGGGTGTCAAAGAATCTTTTATTTTCGACCTTCTCCTAATGCACGGAGCGTCCGAAAAGGGCGCGAAGCTAAATAGAAAGATTAATTAAAGAGGTTACGGCGATGCTATGCACTTTTTGCGAGTTCAGCTCCCCGAGTGCGAGGATGGAGCAGTCACTTTTTGCGCGGGAAGTTATAACAAACGGGATGTTCTAATTCATCGAAGATTCAAACGATCGAAAACGCAAGGCCGCGCGAATACTGTAAACCAGTAGGAATGTTTGTTGAGATCTCGAGTAGACTATCGGAAAACCGCCCTTGATCTTCCCGTGGACTACCATTAGCAATGCCGCGAACTTCAGGACAAGGTTAAAAACCCCAAACGGTACTCTGGACAATTGGACATATACACACGCAAGATCCTTCAGTCTAACTTTCGCTCATTCTCTTTGAATACTCTCGTGAATATCGATGATTTTATATTTTTCTGTTCCTTCTACATTTACCATCTTCTTGGAACATCACTTCAATCCTTTGCTAATCTGTGACCTCTAGATGAGAAAAAAACTAGTCTTATTCCCCAGAAAACTACTCTCTGCATCATATGTTACTGGTTTAATTTAGCGTACAACCACATACCAACCTTTCCGAGATTCAATTCAGCCGACTTCGTTGCATTTTTTGCTTTCGCAATCTCAGCTTGCTTCTCGTTGATCTCATCTCTCAATGAATTTACCCTTGACGACAACATCTCCACATTCTCAGTTTTCAATTTGAGCCGCATCGCAAGGTCCTTCTTTTCTCTTGACAAGCGTTCCATCTAAAACAAAACTCCAGAAGGTTATAGTTATCCGACACAATCTTGCGAATTTGCTTTGAATTGCAAAAAAATACAACAAAAAAAGAATCGGAGTTTCTTTTCTACGGATTTGTGGTATCCGTTTTCTGATTATTACCCATCACCTGCTCAACACTCAAAATTGTGAACCTGGATATGCGCAATGAATGAATTGTGTTGAAAATGTGTAATTCTGCATGGGTGCATTCATTTTGGCCAGAAACTTCCTCACCGTTCCGCTACACGTTTCCAACTCATCCTGCTGCATTCTCGCGACCTCCAAAGCTTTGTTTTTTCGTTCAATGACGTCCTTCAACTCTGTGATTTCTTCCCTCAGCGACACAGCTTCTTCTTCACTGACACAGCCGGAACTTCTCTACAATATAAAACTAATTAATGCACCTCAGACCAGGACCAATTATCCGCTGCACCATGTTCAATAGAAGGAATCGTATGTGAGATTTTGGAGGAGTCCTATTGCGGTATTTCGCGTAATGGGGATGATGAGACAGCACGAAAGATGGAGTTAGAATATCACCCTCTCCTTTCCCCTACTTCCACAAAACTTCACTTTTTGAATTTGTGAAATGATCTTCTACGATTATAATATCGCAGTTAGTAAACAATCACAACCCTGCACAACTAATCATATAAACATTTCAAAACAATGTCTTACCAACAGGAAATCGATCCGTGCGGACAGGTTGGCGTTGTCTTTCCTGAGCTGCTGTAATTCTTCCTCACTCGCCTTCAATGCTTCGGAATACCGTTGCTGGAGTTCCCTCTCTACTGAACCGCGTGTGTCAGCTGCCAAACGTGTTGCCGCCTCTACTTGCTCCATGGATGCAGCTAACGCTTCCTTCAATGACTCCACTTCGCTGACTCGCTCCAACGCCAACGAATCCGCATCTTTCATAGAAAGAGCCTATAACACATGATAAACTCGAGAGTCATCTCGAAAAATATAAAGTGATGATGTATTAACTGATTGCTGTTCAATCCTCTTGAGTAATGTCTGTTTTTCTTCCTCCCACATTTTTTCGGCGCTTTCATACTGCTGGCGAACTTCTTCCAGTTGTCCACGAAGAGCATTCGTGAAATTTTGCATCTGTTCCATTCCATCCTCAGCAGATGATAAGTCGCTCTAAAATGATGTGCTAACGCTTCTACAGAAGACATTTATTTATTCGTTTTAAAAACACACCATAAAAAAGAATCAAACTAGCATGGAAATGAAAGATTTCTCAAGGAATGACTGTAATAATATTAGTAATAAAGCAATCGACCTAAGGTTGAATTCACCAGACTGTAAACAACCAGGAATACTTGAAAGGGGACGGATGGGCCTGAAGAGCAAGCGCTTCGCAATACTTTCGTGAACTAGTGGAACTTGAGGCGGATTATAGCGCTCGATTTTGTAAGAATGGTCCCTAACTTCAGAATAAGGCAACGATCCAAGGCAGTCAGCCAACCCCACCACAGGTTTATGGATACAGGACGCGCCGTACATATCTCGTTAAAGGCGAAAAAATACGGTATAAGCTGAAAATGGCAACCCTCCTTCTTAGAGTTCATAATACGACCATACAAAAATCACCTTAGTTTGCGCGACTTCGCTTCTCAACTTGCACAATTCCTCGTATTGCTCCTCAATACGATGGAGTAATCGTTTCCTGTCCGAGGGATTTGTCTGGTTCTCCGTAATGTGCGTCTGAAAAGTATTGTGCAATTCATGTTCATATATAAGATCAGAAAACAAACTAAGTTTCTGTCAACTCAATGCCTGAAGCCGCGTGATTTTTTTTATTGGTGCATTCCGCTGGCACCTTTGTTTCTCTACTCGTAGCGCGTGCTAATCACGAAGGAATACGCAAGTATCCTATTCAGACATTGGCATTTATTTTTATAGACCTAGTATCCTTCTATTTTATAAACCGCTAACTTGGTGTGTCGGTTTGTATGTATGTCTGTATGTCTGTCCGTCCGCAAAATGAAGTGAGTGATAAGGCAGCTAATGGAGTGAAATAGTCGCTAACAAATTTAGAAGAATCTTGGAATATATGCAATTTTTGAAGAGGATAGTTGTGTATAGAAACTTCGCTAAGGCTAATATAACCACTCTGCTTAGCACACTTTCCGTCATTCCACATGGTGCTGCAGTGGCAGCTGGAGGGCAAGTGAGGATGGAAGGGGAGGCGGAATTCATCTACCGTGTCCATGATTATGGCAATCCCTTCTACATATGAAACTCCTTTGTGTTGCATACGCGTCACCTTCCAGGAGGTGTTGGTGTCACAGAAGGAAGGGACCATAGCGGAGGATAGAAAGCTTGCGCAGGAAAGGAAGGTCCCGGCGGTTGACGGGGGACTAATCTGGTCTAAATATACATGTTTAGACAATAGGGAGGAAAGTGGTTTAGTGCAAGTGGCTTACCACGCGAGCGGTCCGGGATCAAATCCTGGGTCGTGAGTCGCCCGGGCCAACCAAGCCTTCCATCCCTCCGGGGTCGGTTAATTGGTACCAGACTTGTCTGGGAGGATAAAAACACTGACTTGTACATCGGCTGGCCCCCGCAAGTCATTGTATAGGCCACATCGCATTCAAACGCCACTACGAATGTACAAATGGAAGTAGAATGCGTGCCGCATCCCAAAAAGGGATTGATCAACGGCAAATGCTTTATCCTTTATCCTTTATACTGAAAGAGTATCAATAAGAAAAAAAGAGAAAGTAAATATTCAAAAAAGTAGTTTTTTTTTTGTCAAAGTATTAACATTTCACCCCATTGGTCACCCCTGTTCCCCACTGCTACTGCAGCACCTTTGAAATGACAAAAGTGTGCTACGTGGGTATTTATATAGCCATTGAGGTGTCATTACAACCATGCCATTGCAAAACATTGATGGGCAAGCAGCTACCTACAAAATTTGATGACGGCCTGCCTATTCCGTTGACTGCCTTACCACTCACTTCATTTCGTGGACAGACAGACAGACAAACCTGCATACAAAAACTGCCACACCAAGGTTGTGGTTCATATAATGAAGAGATTGAAGAGATTAAGATATATTGTGTCTCTTGCAAATTTTTTTTCTTCTGATAAAGTGCAAAGAAATATTGCTAGCTCACACCTGCAAAGAAGCGTTATTCTCTCGCAACTTGGCCATTTCTTCGTTGAGTCTTGTATTCTCCTGTTCCATACTCTTCAACTTGTTCTATAAGAATCAAATGAAAAGCATGGTTGAAAATTATGATCTGCAAAAAGAAAGGTAATGATTTCACCTCCAAAATCATAGCTACACTTCCCACTTCCTGAATAGGGCCTAATGAACTTTTTAAGGATTCAAATGCGTTGACAAGCTCTTCCTTTTGATCCTGAACGTAAAAAAAACAGCAGTAAAAAACTTAATTTCAAACAATGATACAACAGAGAACATATAGTACTCAATAATAATGGTGCCCATACCTCAAGCTCTTTACAAAGTCTAGTTTTTGCAGAGAGCTGTTCAGCTAGAGATGCGTTTCCTTTTTTGAGCGTAGCCACTTCATCAGAACGATCTATTGGGTATGGTTCAAAAGTCTGAAAACATCTAATTTTGACTAAGAAAGAAGCGCGACAAATTTCACCCACTTGAATGTCGACATCTACTTTAGAAATTGAACGCCGCTCATTTTGAACAAACATTGGGATGTCAAGGCCGTCTCCAGCATCGGGCTTCTCTTCAACGTCCAGTCCAGTGCTACAAATTTTTTCGTCCTAAAACAAGTTCTTAATGGCTGTCTGTCGGGAAGAACCAATAACATTCTGCATTAATGGCACTGAAAGAACATAGGTCAACCATGTACTGCATACCGATGTCTGGCCGCCGCACTCTTCAATTGCACCTAAAGCACGTTCTCTCTTGCGAGGAGGTGAAAAAGACCCCGCCCTAATTGGCAGCAAGGGACCATTCCCGGGAGCCCATGTTTGTCGGCGTATTTTTTTGCTCTGTAAATTCAATATTACACTCATGACAGGAGCACAGCTAGAAAAGATATGTCCTCTGAGTACTCTATTCAGAATGAACCATAACCGTAGTGATGACATACCAGCGCAGAAGCCGTTCCTGTTGTGCCTCGGCCATTGAGAATGCCTTTCATCAGCTCAGCTAGCTTCAGTCGCTGCTCTCGAATTCTCTCTTCCTCATCGTTTTCCTTTTTCGTTTTCGTTTTCTTAACAACAAGAAATTCGGCACACATTACAAAAGGAGAGGAATAAAAAATATGAAAAAGTGGCGCGGCCAGTTAGCAGCACGTAATTGAAACAAAAGAGTAAGAGAGGCCATTCTTTTGACCCAGAGCACTATTCATGGTGAAACCAATAACAACGCCCATTAAACATGTTCATATAAATACCTCAAGTTCTTGCTTGAGCAGTTCAATTTCTCGCAAGTATTTCGACAGGAGGCCATCATCGTTCACTTCGTTCACTACTGGCCTTGTGATGATCTTCTTCGCCAACTTAGCAAACTGGAATAGTCCGATAAAAAATTAGCTTAAAAATCACACCCACATTCCTTCCCTGAACAATGGCAGACCTTAAGTGTTGAGCTCGTCTCTGATACGGAGAACGGAGCGACACAGCAAATTATCACGGTTTTTGAATTGCCACCAAGCGAAGGCTTCAGGATTCTCGTGAGCTTCGAATCGCGATAAGGGATGAACTTCCTAGAAATACACGAACTACATACACTTACTTGACAGCAACTAGAGAGAAAACTCACTGGTTATCTGCCAGACTAGAAACAACCTTAGAGAGAGCAAGAAGAGATTTGTTTATGTTTGCACCCTCCTAAAACTGTTTATGCATACAGTGATGAAAACATTACGAGCGAATGAAAAGGGACCTTTTGGCGCAGTCCTTGGGTACCGGCAGCCGCCGCGTTCTCACTTCCAGCTAGATCAACAAGGTTCATGACCGAACACCTCGTCGCATTTCCGCCAAGTTTTACTGAATCAGCCCTTTCAGAGCACAAAATACTGAAGTAGTCAATGAAGACAATAATATACTACCGAATCAGACGATGCTAAGCAAAACGTGTTACACATAAACACCCATTTTTGAGTAACTTAGGAGTTTGAAAAAAGGTGTTAATGAGTCACACAACAATACCATTCAATTTTGACGCAGTTTAATGCGTCGTATTTCACTAGCGATTCATCTCTGCTCAAAAGAAATCAGACTGAAGTACAAACTATGCAAAAAACATGATGCCGGACACTGCGCCACAACAAACTTGAGAAAAGTACTCACATTAGTATTTAACCAAACCTCGTGATAGAAATTTTATTAATCATTTGGCATCTGCTTAGGGCATTTAAGGCATTCAAGTAGAAAATAACAAGACACGCACCGTCGTGAGACTCAATGGTCAACCGTATTATGGTGTGAGATCGCGAACTCCTCTCATTCAGAAGAGTTTCACCGAGTTGACGATGTTCTAAAGAGTAATGCTTCCTTCGAAAGAACAAGTAGGAAGTAACCACAGATTTCTGAACGAGTAGTTCATCCAGTAATGCTATCGAAAAAAAGTACCTTGCGCCTGCACCAGAAGTTCTTCTACTTCCGCCATTTCTGTGACTACAACCTCTTTTAAACCTTCTATTTGAGCAACACCGTCCTTGTTGTCGTATATCGGTAAATCGAACAACATTTTCAGTTAGAAGGTCGCGAACGCGCTCGTTGTAGATCTCAACATACGAGATCCGTAGCATGTAATTTCTATCCTCGGACTAAAAAACAAACAATCAGAAGCTTTTAATGACGAATGGATCAAAATGGCAGACCTCTGCCATTTTTCGAAAAGAGCTTGAAATGTGCATTGAACAACACCATTCTCCATTTCTGATCCGGTCAATGTATGTGTTTTACCTGTATTGATAATATATAGTCTTTCGGATTCTTTCTGATGCTATCAAAAAGGCTTACCAGCTCCCGACTGGCCGTAAGCGCATACAGCTGTATTAAATCCTGCTAAAGCCGAGTCAACAATTCCCCTCATGACGCGATCATAAATATCGACGTTCGTGCAGAGCTGATCGAAAACTTCATCTGAACATCACTCATATTACAAACCAAACACTTCCAAAACTTCCTTTTACTTTCGGAGCCAGATTTCTCTAAACAGCAGGCCGAAAATTTCCCTCTGCTAACCTTATGTTTTCGGTCCACAAACTCGTTCCATTACAGCAACCTCACACACTACGGTTACGGATATTTGGAAACTGGATAAGCCTCACTCACTCACAATACAAAGCAGATTTCATTCCCCTTCAGCTCCTCTACCACAACCTCGTGCGCACAAACCTTGGGCTTGCGGTCTACCTTTCTTTACCGCATGTTTTTAATAACTTCGACTTTCGATCTATGGGAAAACAGTGATTCGGACATTAGAGAGGAAAATAATAACGAAGCGTGTACAATCTCACCGAAAATCAGCAGAAGTCAACTAACCGAAAGTGTAAATTTCACTGCCGTCCCTCTTCATGATATTTCTTTCACCGTTCTTTGTCCATTCCAGTTTGCCATTTTCAAATCCACTAAACAATGAAAGTAAACAGAAAGGCGTACTCTTGAACTATTGTTTTTATCGAAATTGCCCATAGGTGTAATTAGATGTGCCGATTACAAAAGATACATTTACTTTTAATGGTGGCGCAATCTGGTGCCAGATGGCGTCAACTCATCACGACACTTGTTTCCACAAAGTTGCAAACTGCTATATAAGGAGTTATTTGGTGTCCTGATTATGTATATGACATTCATTCTTGGCGCCTATTTTCCGCTCGTTCGCGCCGCCTCACTGATTAGATCGCGATCAGCACTAAGCCTTCAGAAGTGGGAAGGGCGTGGGGAGTAAACCACCCACCCTGTGAAACAGCTTCAACTTTTGCTAAACGGTTTCTGGTTAGTCCATCCCTCTTAAGCCTAGTCTCAAATACTAGGTATAGGTGAGAGAGCCTAGGGAAACGGGATATATGGATAAACAGCGCCAATGCTAAAAACGAATGACATATTCGTAATTACGACAACGTCAGAAGATCGATATGTATCTAAAGGCTGGTGTCAGAGTCCGCGATCCGTCGCAGGTTTCGCTGATTTTCGCGATTTGCGCGATTCACGCGACGGGTCACGGAAATCACAAGTGCCCGATCAATACTGCAAGGTGTTCTCCAATCCTGCCGCCACTTCTGCTTGATAGTGATGGCTGAATGACGACTGCTCATGATTCCACTTGTTTCATATTCAGTGTTTCAAATGTTCACACACTTGCAATTTTTGCGATCCGTCGCGTGAATCGCGCAAATCGCGCAACCCGCGAAAATCAGCGAAACCTGCGACGAATCGCAGACTTTGACACCAGCCTACTGCTGTGCGATCGTTACGATCGTAGCGCTCGGACGACCGACTATGTATGCGCCGCCCATACAGAAGTCTATACTCAATTTGGTAGAAACAAGTGCCGTGACAAGGTAACGTTAATAGCGCCCAGATGGCGCAACCGCTAGGATTAATATACTTGGGGCGGCATGATGCTCGGCGGGGCAGCCACTCGAGACGCGGAGTCTGCTGGCTAACAGGAAAATTGAGTGAGGCCTAGAGGAACATATCAGTTCAGGAGCGTGGGGTGAGAGCAGCCACTTAGCCTGCGTGAGAAGCTTGGAGTTCCGTGAAGGATGTTGCGCGCGGCAACATGCCCCGCATCCCCCCGGCACATTGCGCCCTTCCGTAACCCAAAGACCATCGAATTTCCTTCATAGACCAAGGTGTACGAAAAAATAAAATTTGGGTCTCATCCAGTAAGGGGGGAGGGGCATTCTAGACTGCCTACACTCCCCCTGGCGCACAGGTTTCTCGAAGTACGGGACCCCGTGAGCCAGGGGGAGTGAAGGCAGTCTAGGGGGTGGGGGTGAGGGCAGCCACTTGACGTTGCATCACAATGCCCCCCCCCTTACTGGATGAGACCCAAACATTTTGAGTTTTTGGGTTGCAAGCGGTCAACCGAAGGCTTGGTGATTCAGCGTTTTGTAGTGTTTCTCTGGGCACTATCGCACATGCACACTATTACAGCGGCGCTGCTTTCATTCTTTCCATCAAAGACTTAGTCCTAGAAAAGCAGAAAGTATGTACTTTTCTGCTGGACTCACGCGCTGGTTGACCACTGCCCTGTAACCTATTGAATAGTCCCCAAAAACGATATGAAAGTCACTTAACAAAACCGAAAAAGGATCTTGACAAATCAGTTCTACTCTGAAAGACGTAAATTGTAAGAACTCACGGCCTTATGCGTGCGACCACTGATATTTTATCCTCAACCATCTGAAACACGCCAGCAATAAAATGGAACGCGTACACGTCAACAAGCGAAAAGCAAGAAAGGAAGCAAATCCAAAAATTGATGGGCTCTATGTGTGTTTTCCAAAATGGAGTAATGAACTGCACGCCTGAAGCTGCACGAGTACATGAGTGGAGAAAGTGGTAAATTTTGAATCTAAATTTTGCCACGCTTTCCGCATTTAACTGCGTACTCTATGTGTTGCTCGTCGAATAGTCAGCCAACTCGCTGTTGGGCGGAGCTCGCGCCACGCATTCATTCGAAGACATGCGCCGCGATGAATCCGTGGAGAGTTCGTGGCGTTTGCTTCTTCCCAGTTTCTTTTTTCTCCTTGCAAAAAGCTTATGCATTGAAAAAAACAAGTATCAAACCTTCTCTGTGATGAACTAGTTAGTAGGCGATGTTTTGGGAGTTTGTGGTTGTTAGTATGCACCTGCGGAAGTCACCCTCAAATA